TCTAATTTTGAGATTCGTGTTAATGAACCTACCATTCTCCAAACATGTACAAAAACAATTGTTACTTTATAGTTACGTAAAAAATAGTCACTAGCTGAAAACAGAGTTTAGTGCTCTACAAGTTTGATTTAGTAACAACCTGAGTTATATTCGAGGATTCGCATCAAATGCATGTTTTATAAAGAAGAAATTAGTGTTATTGTTTTGCAAAGAGTGAAAAATTGGCGTTTTGCACGAAGCGTTTTTACTAGACTATTTGGTTAAATTGTAGAGTATTGGTATTCAATCAACGCAGAATTTAATACTCCTCATTATTTCCAGTACTGTCATAAACTTTTCCATTCAACGTTTAGTTGTGGAAGAATTTGGAACTGACCGTAAAAATAAGAAATATTAATTCTTTATTATAACTTCTAAAGTTTTTTCTCGAAAATAGGGGCAAACTCAGGTTACGCATATCACTCGGGTACGCATATCACTGAGATTACTCATAGGGACCCTTGCGTCAAGAATAAATCTCTTCAGTCTTCGCCCAATTGTTTGATCTTTTCTCTTTGGCACAACTCAAATCATCATTTAGCTGGGGAAAAAATCCATAAAAATCCTTTAAAATCCATGCTTGTTTACCAAATTCTTTATTTCAAGAAACAATATCCATATTCTTTCCTAGGCTTCGTTGAACCGACTGAAACAATTGCTTGGTCAAAAATAGATGAAAGTTTTCTTTCACGTAACTAGGAGAAGAATCAAATATGGATACTTTACAGTCCGGTCAACGAACGTTTTCGAATTTGCAAACAAGTTGCAATTTCTCTGTAGATAGTGCAGGACTAATGCATGCTAATAATGCTACATGCTAACATGCTAATGCTGCATGCATACATGCTAATAATCTGACGTTTCGAGTCGTTTCATACTCTTTTACTGCCCATTAAGTACGTGATTTTCATGGAGATATCATAATATTCGAAGACAGAAATGACTTGCATCGACTCACTTCAGACTCGGAAATGATTCCAGATGCAAAATCAGGATTAAGAACAGATTCCCGCTCCATACTTTCCTCAAGATATTTGCAAATATTGAATAATTCTCTTGAGTTGCTTTTTGTTTCCTCTCCCTGTATTAAGATTATTTAAGTACAATTTGACCCTACATTAAGTTAATTAGATTTAGTCATCACAAAATTGGAAAGTTTTCTTGTAAACTGAACATTGCAACTTCAACAAACAAGTAAATAAATGAAAAAAAACATACATAATTGCTCTCAATACCAAAGAGATTCATTGAGTCGTATTCATAGATCAACTCAACGTATCAGCTTGAGATCTACAAAGCATTAGGGTCATATGGAGATTTCTTCTTTCACTAATTCTTATAACATTTGAAACCCCCAATATTGTCAATTTAAAAAAGTCAATGGATAATAACGCCCAAACCTATCCAATCCAAAAAATGACTTTTCATCCATTGATTTGTTTAAGTCGATATTTCAATGAAACGTAAATCAATAATATTTTAATAATATTTAATTCTCGACCTGGAACTTCAAGAATTATTTATTTAGTGCATAAGTGTCTCTTTAAAAATAACACCAGAAATTTCATAACCTCTTCAGCACATCCGCTGTCAAAAAAATAAATTCATGTCTACGTCGGGCATAATTTCATTGACATTTCTCCTTTGAACTTTGAATTGGAACACGTTCGACACACTCTCAAAGAACGCGTGGCTAATCTAATCTGGGGAGTTGCACTTGCAAAGTAAGAGGCAGTTTGCGTGTTCCTCTTCCAACTGGGGGGAGGGGGGCAGGTGAGGAAGCCGAAGGGAGGGGGGAACTAGACCGCCCCCTCCCCTTCATCAGCAAGAAGAGCCACCTAAAGTTCGTCTATGAACTTTGGACCAATCGTTTGCTCTATTCGCATTTTAGACCGCAGACTCTAAATGCTTTATTTCTTCATCAATATGCTTCATGTACTTGTGTATGCAGTTCAACCACATGGAAGCGATATTGAAGTATTTTGGTTTTTGGCTTGCGTGGGTGGCAGTACGCGCTCCTAGGCTGATGCAAACGGTGCGAAGAAACCCCAGAAGTAACGGGTTCCCATTTAAGTCTCCCTCCGACTCCCGGTAAAGTTGCAATTGCAGAGAGGGGCTCCATTCGGTCTTTCTGTACCGCCTCCCCCCCCCTCGTCGCTAAATGCCACTATGTGACCAATGAGAGTCTTGATCAAACTTCTCAGTCTCTCTATTTACATAATACATACTTCTAAATAATACATCCAATTTATTTTGCTTGAAGGAAATAAAATGTGGAAGTCTGGAGAGTCTTGTAAGACTAAGACTGATATATATATATATATATATATATATATATATATATATATATATATATATTGCAAGATTATATAAAATTACACAGTTACACAGAAAACAACCTCTTGTCCTCAAGGTTTAGCTCCTTAGTCAGCGTGCTCGGTTTCCATGTCGCGACCCCGGGTTCGATTTATGGGCAAGATTACAGTGTACGTTTTTCTTGCAATGTTTCAGTAAATGTTACCGTGTGACGATGAGAATACTCAGGTTGAGAAGACCAGAATTCGGAGTAAGGCAGACTTCGTGCTAACCACACGTACCCCCTGAACCCATGGCCGCGAGTCTGGGGCGCTGTTGGTAAGCCCCGGCCAGTTCACGACAAATAGACGGTCATCAACTTCTTGACAGTGACTTAAAGTCATGACCATCAAAATAAAAAAAAGTTGAGAGTGAAGAAGAGGTTCGAAGTACCTAGATCAAGAAGTTTCCCAATAATTAACTTAAACATAACTCCACCGAAACTACAACAACTCTACAGCAATATTTTAGGGTTGTCGTTACTGTAACACTAGGAACAATTACTGATCGGTTGATTACTAGTGATTCCGGGCGCGTCAGCTGGTAAGATCAATAGTGCCGTGTATAGTCAATAGTGTAGTGCATGTTTATTCTCTGAAGGTGGCAGCGATCTTGCCCCGTTGGAAGGTGAGATCCGGCGCCGACAAACCGTCAACTAGCGGGCTTTTCCCCACCCAGGTATCTCCTGCCACTAGGGCACCACCCCATCTGGACAATGCTCTAGTAAGCTCCCCACCGATCGGAGGCAAATACCGGAGCAGTACTTTACGAAACGGGCCGCGGACCGCGCGCGATTTTTCTTTTCTCATCATTGTCCCCATATTACTCTTCAAACACCCACTCACACACACACTTCCACACACACTCAAACACACACACCACACTTCCTCACATATCAGCTACTCAGTCCCAAGCTTCGAATTAGTCCAGGCTGAGCCGGGCGGAGCAGACAGGTACCTGGAAAGCGAATGCCGCTAATCACATGTAGGTCGGCTCCGAATCCCTCGTTTCAGCGGAGAAGGAACTCTGTCACCTCCCAGGGCATAACATGCACTACACTTTGGGGAATAATTAACATTTATTAGTTGACCGCCATTACGAATTATTGTGGCTTAGGTCATCAATTGATGTCATTGCAGTGCCTGTGACCTAAGAGTTAACTCCCGACTGTGGCAGGATTTTCCACACTGGCTACATATCGAGGTTAGCTATCGAGGTACAGCTAGCTGCCGATTGCTCTGATTCGTAGTTTTGCGCAGTTTCTCCGACCAACACCAGGTGAATGCAGGAATAGTACCCTCACAAACGGGCCACGGACAACGCGCAAGGTTTCCTTTCAATTCCTTGTTTTTCCTCACCCCTTACCGACACCCACTTATACCCACTTACACACACATGCACTACACTACCACACATGTCGGGATACCATTCGGGAGCTTAGAACTTGATCCGACTCTGGCGGTGCCACACTGGTGGGAGACCTGGTTTAGGGAAACCCGCAAGCTGACGAGTAGGTCAGCACCGGAACTCGCTATCCAGCAAAAGAAGATCACAGCAACACCACGCGACAAAACATGCACTACGCTTATGGGACTAATGTATGTATGTATGTATGTATATATGTATATATGTATATATGTATATATGTATATATGTATATATTATATATATATATTATAATGTATATATGTATATATGTATATATTATATAGTATATAGTTATTATCATGTCATTATTACTGTATATATGTATATATTATATATGTGTATATATGTATATATTATATATGTATAGTATGTATGTATGTATGTATGTATGAATGAATGAAGAATTTTGAAAAGAAGGAAAAGAACGTAAAGAACCGTAAAGAACGTAAAGAACGTAAAGAAACGTAAAGAACGTACAAGAACGTAAAAACGTAAAGAAACGTAAAGAACGTAAAGAACGTAAAAACGTAAGGCAACGTAAAGGAACTAAAGAACGTAAAGAACGTAAGAACGTAAGAAGCGTAAGAAACGTAAAGAACGTAAAAACGTTTAAAAAACGTAAGAAGAACAGTAAAGAAACGTAAGAAACGTTTAAAAGAACGTAAAGAACGTTAAAAACTAAAAACGTAAAGAACTAAAGACGTTAAAGAACGTAAAAGAAACGTAAGAACGTTAAAAACGAAAAAGAAACGAAAAGAACGAAAAAGGGAAAGAACGAAAAGAAGGGAAAGAAAAGAAAAGAAAGAAAGAGAGAAGAAAAATCTTTATGTACTGCCAATGAAAACCTAGGAGGAACTTGGTGCATCAGCGCTTCGGCGGGCGCGAGGTTGGCGCGTGGTGGGGGCGCCGGACGAGTTCCGCAGACTCGCGGAAAAGAGCCGTGAACGTTGCGTCAAATTGTGCGAGAACGGAGGGGGGATACGAGGCAGTTCTGCCCCGAGACAGCGCGGGCGGCTCGTGAACGGATCGCGGCGGAGAGGGGGAGAGGCGAGGGGAGGGAGGGGCGAACGAAGCAAAATGGTGCGAGCGGGGAGAAGGGGTATACGAGCGGCCGGCGCGTGGGCGGGGCGGAGCGGGGCGGAGCGGGGCGGTGCGGGGCGGAGCACGGAGGCGGCCCGGCCAAACGCCCTTTGGCACCCGCGGACGCCGGGCGTCGCGGCGCCTAGTATAAATGCCCGCGGGCGACGGCAGCGCTGTATCACCTCCGCTCTCTGCTACAGCTGACCGGTCGCTCACCCGACTCCCTTGGCTGACACGGCCCTTCGACTCTCGCAAACAAGGTAACATGGCCGTCACGCGCCAGCGCACGCTGCGGAAGCTTTTGGGTGGTTCTTCCTGCTCGTAATTCTCTTGCGATACGCTCATTAATAGCTTTTTTAAACTATTCAGTTCTGAATTCAATTATGTACGTAATTAACTGAAATATATTTCTACTTCAGAATATTATTCAAATGTAATATTTAATATAAAATATGCATCTCATTTTCTGAGGCCTTGATTAGAAGAAAATTAAATATACGATTTTTGCATAATTTGCAAAATACTTTTTTTGCAATAGGACTTTACAGCACTGGAGTTAGTTTCCATAAACAGTATTCTCCAATACACGTGTTAACGGTAATATTGATAAATTATATCGATGCATATACATGATTTTAAATTACATGTAATAATTTATACGATTATTTAGTGTAAGTCAAAGTAAGAGAATAAATAATATCTTTTCTCCCCTTCCCGCGAATACTTTCAAATGCCTCTTACAATTGTTTCGAGATTTAAAACAAATGTATACATGAAATAACTGATTACGTCAATAAAAGGACGATTTATCACTCAGGTATTGAGAGAGAGATGGGGTGGGATTTTAATTTACTAAATTTAAGCGTTCTTTAATCTAATATCGTATATCAAAATATGATTTCAGCTGATGAGTTTTAGAGTGAAAAACCAAATAGGGAAAATTGTGAGTGTCTTGACATCTCAGTTATGTACTCCTGAGACAAAAACAATTCTTCAAAAGTATTGTCACGAGATGGATTGTCTGTAAATGGAATTTGTAAAGAACGAAATACAGTTTCGTTCACAGTTATTTTGGTTACGTTAACTTGAAAACATTTTTACTTAAGTGTGCAACTAGCTATAACTCGCAAGTGCGAAGACAAAACATTAACATTTTAAAAAGGTAACTTCTTTATATTTTGACGATAACATATTTTTGTGACTCCTTTAATGAAATAATGCCTGAAATAACATTAGCTACTTGGAAACATCATATCTGAAAATGGTCAACATAAAGACTTTATTTGTATTTGCTTCCGTATTATATGAAAGCGATTTTTGTGTAGTATGCTAACGTGGATATGAACTTTCCTACTACGCAAAATTTCACAAAAATATTTTTGAAAAGTTTATGTTGTGCGGCAGTGGGATTTTAAAATTACTTTTGATTCAGAACTTTTAGAGTTAATGAGATACGTTTGAGATTCTAGGATGGGAAATTGAAGCAAGCCAAGGCATCTCCTATTACGTGCGCGTATGAATCGTATACCTTCCGGGCAAATACTTGGAACTCTAGAAATTTCACAGCAATTCCATTCATAAGATGGTTGACAGGGGTTAGCGTAGGACGACGGTGCTGAATTCAACGCATTCTATCAGCTTGTAATTACCACGATAATAACGATAAAAAACGAAACTAATAGCCTATGCTACACACCTGCTCACTCAACGCAATTTATTAGGCAATTTTGAACCTCATTTTCGACATTTGTTTCAATATGTTTCTGTACATGTTTATAGACAGACAAATTGGGTAAATAAATGGATCCAGATAATTACTAAAATATTTTTAAATTTAAAATTTAAAGCATTTTTCAATAAAGTGCGTAACAGCTGAGCACCTCTTTTCGCGACCCTTCTCTCAGCTGATGAACTGCAATATTCGAGGCATGCAATTCATTTGGTTCACATTTGAAATGTCAGCACTGTGTAATCCGGTAGCTTTTGATTCACTGTTGTTTAAATTACGTCATTGGTGTTACCTCCTGGCGACGAAGTTTCAACCGCTTTCTAATTGTACTCGTATTGTAGATGGTTGGCCACTTGCTTTTTTCAATCACGCAATTCTTTCATAAATTCTAAAAATTTGCCATATTTGTATGAAGTTACATATGGCCTAACCACGAAACAATTTCGGAAGTTGTGTGTATCTTTTAGGTTTGATTCCAAATCTGATGGTTCATTTCCAAAAATGTCCAGCCCACTGTTCCCACGTGTACGTAATTTGAAGGGCTACGATAGCTCAGCAAAAACACAGACCTTATAGCCTCTGGGGAGTCGTTGATTGGGATGTGCTACGGTTCGGGTCCCATCGGCGAATAATTTTCGCGAGATAACTGCAAGGAGAAAAAGCAACAAAAGGGTCGGCGCCGTATCTCACGTTCTAGCGACAGAGAAAGAGCGCCACCTCTCGGGCTATAATATCCACTATGCTCACGGGACTAATGGATCGGGATATAATATGCCCTCTGCGTCCGCAATCCATACTCTCTGCGGGTTCTTTGAAAAGGTGTATGTGTTAATTTTATTAAAGTTAATACTTTCTACCCTTTTTAAAATGGACACCATTATTCTTTTTTTGGCAATTTATTTTCTTATTAGATTAGTTTGATATGGTCGTATATATATATATATATATATATATATATATATATATATATATATATTTATAGACAGTCAAATTGGGGAAATATTTGTATCAGATAATTACTATTTTTAATTTAAAATTTAGAGCATTTTTTCAATAAAGTGCATGAAACAACGTTTTTAGAGCCTGTTTTCTTCCCCTCATCAGGTACTATAAAACAATTCAAAGTCATATGTTACAGATAGTCCCGTTTACGTAACCTGTCCTGTAACGTAATGGCAGACAATGATGGTGTTCACTTCAAGTAGTAGAGAGTGGGTCCTCTAATTTTATGTATCTTTATGGTTATGGATAATTAAATGTAATATACTCAGCAGTTACGTCCTTCATTAACAATGCTTTACAATTTAAATTTAAAATTATTTCAGTAATTTTCTGGATCCAATTATTGGCCCAATTTCACTGTTCATAAATGCGTATAGAAACGTATTCAAACAAATTTCGGTAATAATGAGACAGTCATAATATAAAACAGTTATTTATGCACCAGCGACGCCAAAAGGTTCTAATGATTGAGCGTCGTCAGTGTGCCATGGGCTTTTGGCCTGAGGGCTTCTTGTCGCCCGAGATCATTTGAACCAGTTAACGTCCGTGCTGCATACATAATTTTATTGTTTAGATTGACTTATTTACTAATTAACTAGACTCGGTTTGTCTTTTCAAAGCCCCCATAATTCCTTTTCATAATTTCCCCCGTAAGAAAACATATAGCATGATTCACCTGTTTTCATATTTCCCTCGTACCCACGATCTTTTCAATCCAGTTAAGTTATGTAATGCAGCGTATATCCAGCTCCGCATCGAGGGAAATAACAAGCAAAACCGTGTCATATGTATGTAAGATTTATTTCGGCATTTCCACGCTTTTTGCTGGGAAAGACTTCTGTTCTTTTTTAAAATGTGATTAGAGAAACTATTAATAACGGTACAACAGACGTGGACTCGTTCCTCATCGAAGGCCTCCGATCAGGTTTTTGTCCAGTTTCCACGATCCATTGAGCAAATGATGAGATGGCCCCTTGTTTTACTTCGGGATGTAAATGTAGCTTCACTATGCGCACGTTTTGTTGAACTCTCCTTTGTACTGGTAAGAGTAGAGGTAAGGGCGAGTTACCATTTAGCAATGCAGAAAACTTATACTTGCAATTCGTTTACCGATGCAAATAAGTTTTCTATAACTCGGGAACGAAAATGTATATTTTTTTCAAGTATTGCTAATCTTGGTCTTTTTAAAAATTTCTTTTTATTTATTTATTTTAAACTCTTACTCATCTTTCAAATATTTTTAGTTAAAATGTCGCGAATGGAACTCAAGAAAACGTGCGCAGGTGATCTTCTCCCCCATACGTCACATACAGTTTTTACTGTTTTTTGACTAAATCTAAACTTTCCTCTTCTCACCGAGTACATTCGTAAGGGTGAGTACATACTTATGGCAGAACTTTTCCGGGAAATGTATGAAATTGTCTCGGCCCAACCGCCCCCACGATCTCTTCGCCTGACGGCTCATTCCAAGTGGACGTTCTTATGCACAAAGCAACATATTAAATGTGAACAAAATTGCGTATTTATTTATAGCAGGGTTTTTTGACTATATAAATCTAATGCGTGTGTGTGTGTGTGTTGCGAGCAGATGTCGCTGCTGCTGGTGGTTGCGGCGGCGCTGCTGGCCGTGGCGCTGGGCGCGCTGTACACGCGCCGCCTGCGCTTCCGCCGCGCCGTGGACCGCCTGCCCGGCCCCGCGCCGCTGCCCCTGCTCGGCAACGCCCTCGACCTGCTCGTGCCGCGCAACCGTAAGCCCCAAAATCTAAAACTCCATGCACAATGGCGCGCGGCGATGGTGTAACGGTTAGCGTTTCGGACTGTTGTACCCAAGTTGGCGGGTTCAAACCCGATAGAAGCCGTAGGTTTTTAAGGGCGAAAAACCCCTTCGTACGCCTTCCTTCGGAGGGGAAGTAAAGCCGGCTGTCCCATGTTAGTAGATTTCTTTGCATGTAAAAGATCCTCAATCAATGACGCCTCTGAGCCAAATTCAAATCGCCTGTTTCTCGCCCAAGAATTACCTCCTTTCTCTGCTAGTTGGTGAAAGGAGCGTAGTGAAATTTGCGTGGTCAGACGGAAGAGCAGGCCTAATGGTCTGAGTCTCGCCACGTAAAATAAGGTATTAATTCAATTCAATAATTCAATTCACAATGTATATTTGTTGTTCTGTTGACCCGTAACGTGTTTTAAATGTCTCACCACTGGCCTAGTAAAAGAAATTTAAATTAGGACAGTCTCTTGCGGAAAAACTTCCGTAAACTTTCGTGTGTTTATTAATAATTTATTATTAATAGTTTATTAAGAAAGAAAAATAATGGAACCGAAGACAACCTAACCTCTTTCCAACTTCTGAAAATGAAAAAATTAAAATAGACATTAAATTTAATATTATATATTATTTTTATAGAGTAACAACACCAAACTTCTCTTAAATTCACGTTTACAAGCAGCTGTAGATAACCTTTAAGTAAAATTAATGGTAAAGTATTTTATTAGCGACTGGCACGACCATACAACCTTAAACACTTCACAGAACAGTACCAAAGAAATAAATCAACACATAACACAATTGGGTCTGATCGAGCTTTTCTCGGCGGAAGACTATCCCCTCTAGGAGTTTCGTCAACTATTAAGTAGTTTGAAGCTTTTTTCAGGTATTTGAAAATGTTTGTAAACTGCAACTTAGAAATGTTAGGAATTATGGAATTGGGGATTTTAGATAATTATGTCCTTAAAAAGATGATCGATTTCTTGTTTCTTTACGGTTGGATGTTTTAACTTGGTGAAAAACGTTCTGTATTAGTAATTTCGAACAGAATCTTTGCGACATACTAGATACCTGTTAAAAAATTTTATATCATATAGCTGGTAAAATTTAAGCCTTTGTTAATTTGCTTGTTTGAAGCATGCCAGGGTAAACATTCTCAGGACTTTATATAAGAAATACATAGATGTTCAATCGATAAACATGTTAATTCCCCCGACATTGAGCTAACATATTCGCTTCAGGCTCCTTCACATCAGGACGTCACTGCAGAATCTGTTTCTTTGCCTTTCATAAACAAGTTTTGCAAAAAAAAGATTCGAAATCATAGTTCTTAACAGATTTTATCTTTCGAAATACCAAAGAATTTAGTAATTTTAATCATTTTATAGTTTTACAGATCTTTTTTTCCCTGACACTACCTTTAGAGATTTCAATGTATATTATTTTTAAATACTCGCCATGTTCGTGTAATAGGGCACAACTTTCCTTTTATTTTTACCATTGTAGAATGAGAGAAATACCTTTTTTATTTGACGTATAATTCTATTGCAAGCTATCAGTCCCTTCTCAATTATTAGGCTTTCGCAGCTTACTTCTTAGAAAATGTTATCTATGGTTAATAATAAAAACACTTTTAAATCTGAAAGGTTTAAAATATTTTATTCCAAATCGAATTTTTAATTGAGAAAAAAATTGTACAATGCCGCGAAATTAAAATATTATTATTACATATTTTCAATTATATTTAGTATTTCCACCAGATTTTCTCGCACCCGTGAGAATTTTTCGGACCGGTTTTGTATCTGTTATATTCAACTGTATGTATTCTATACAACTTTTCCATCAAGAGAATTAATTAGCACGGGGTCAAGGTAGTCAGGATAGACATAAGAGCATGGCAACTATTCACACAAATATTTTCAATAAACTAAGCAGTGAATAGTGTATTTCTTGCAATGAGCAATACTCATAGTGCCTTTGCATTTAAATATCAACAAACGTAAAAGAAATCGCAATTGCATTACAGACGCAGAATATTTTTCTATTATTTGCACCTTTACCTCTATTTTCCCCTAAATTAAAATCAATATTATTCCAAGGGGAACTCAATTGAATATTAATGCAATTGTTTCACATTTAATCAATTAACATTGGATAATTTACATATTTTACTGTTGCATCTTTGATAAAATTCTAAAATCTTCCCAGTGAAATTTAAATTAAAAACAATATTATTCAAAGGAGAACTCAATTGAATATTATACAATTGTTTCACACTTAATCAATTTACATTGGATAATTTACATATTTTACTATTGTATCTTTGATAAAATTCTAAAATCTTCCCAGTGAATTTTTAATTAAAAACAATATTATTCCAAGGAGAACCCAATTGAATATTAATGCAATTGTTTCACATTTAATCAATTAACATTGGATAATTTACATATTTTACTGTTGTATCTTTGATAAAATTCTAAAACCTTCCCAGTGAAATTCATGTTAGTGAATCTACGTGCCTGAACCTACTGTTCAGAAAGCACATGCTGTTTTGAATATGTGAGGGCTTGCTGGGGTCTACACTGTTGCTTCGTGTGCGCAGGAGTAATGCAAGTGCTGGAGGACCGCTACCAGAAGTACAAGCCACTCTACCGTGCCTGGATCGGCCCCATTGCGGAAATCCACTTGACGCTTCCGGAGCACGTGGAGGTGAGCATTCGGAAAAGCCCTTGCACCTGCACGTGTGACACAAATGATAGACATGTACGCAATAAATTTAGAGATAATAATGCAATTTTAACTTTCGGTATCTTTTTTAGCCTTACAGACGTGTTGGAAATAATTGTGAATAACGGCCGATATCTAAGTAATTAGTATTTAAAATTTAATTAACGGAATAAGGTTTACACGCATTTGAAATCTGTTGTCAAAATATGTTTTTTCAACATCAATCTGTCAATTATTGTATCATTATTGCTTGTGTAACCATATCACTTCTGATAATCAATTTTTCTCATTTTCGCACAGGTTATCATGAGCACACCCAAATTTTTGCAGAAATCTCACTCCTATAAATTTCTTCAACCGTGGCTGGGAGAAGGTCTGCTAACAAGCACAGGTAAATTCCATGAATATATATTATGAATATTGAATGAGGTACCTAAATAACATGCAGCATTCTAGTATCTCTTAAAATTAAAATTTGAACATTACTGAGGCTGAACTACATCACAAGCTGACCGAAATATTTTTTTTGTATAGCAGCATTATAAACGTTTTTTTCTGTTGCAAGAATTCGTTCATAATCGGGCATTTTACAGCATGACGTATGAACATTTTACAGCATGAATGATTGCGTCATCACACATTTAGCCAATCGCAGAGAGAGAAACGAGGGAAGGTGAAGGTCAACAAAACAGCCGACCACCGTTTTCTCGCACAGATGTCAAAAACAGCACCGAGACGTCACAAGAATCTTGTTTCGCAAAATTAAAATTGATTTCCCTATAAACTTATAATGCTTGTTATAAAAAAATCGGATGCAACTAATTTATAATGTTTCTTTATTGCATTTGTTCAAATCTGAAAACTCGTATCTAACGTCACTCGTTTTTAAAACATGTACTCCTGTAATGAAGCTTAACATTATAACAGTTTCCCTGATCCTCGAGCAAATGCTGAGATGGCCCTTGTTTTGCTTCTGGGCATAAATGCAACTTCAAATTAACTTCTCCCCACAGCACGTCTCACACAGTTTTTAACTGTTTTTGACGTAAATAAATAAATAAATAAAATATGCGTTGCACGGTCGTCAACTGAGAAAGTTCTCTCTGCCGGTCTGGATGGCCGGAGATCGCTATGGCAATAGTGCAGAAGCGATCTCGGACCGAAGGATCGCGGGTTCGAGTCCCGCATCGGGCATGGTTGTATTGTGTTCATCCTTTCAGCCCCTATCATCATCATCATATCGTATCATCCTCACAGTTACCGTACCGTTAAACGCAATAGTGGTCACTAATGACCAATAGTTGATGCGATCTTAAATAACAGAAAGAAAAAAAGTTCTATCTCTTCCGCAGGCGGCAAGTGGCACACGCACCGGAAAATGATCACGCCCACGTTCCACTTCAAGATACTGGACGGCTTCCTGGACGTGTTCGTCGAGAAGAGCGAGATCCTCACTAAGAAGCTGATGGCCGTGGCCGGAGGCGACAGCTTTGACGTCTACCCTTACATAACGCACTGCGCGCTCGACATCATCTGCGGTGAGGCTCCCATTTGCGCTGAGTGGACGAGTAACGCGGTGATAAGATTGCGGAAAACTAATCTATGTTCGTGCGACTGAAGATCATTCGGCGTTGTTGAATGCACTTCAGACATGAATCACATGCCTCAATTTCTAGATTAAGCCATTTTTAACACAAGAATTATATTTTCGTGTTGTATTGTTGTATTACAAGTGGCAGTAGGTACGCATTTACGATTCTTTTTTTTTCAAAAGTTTAGTATTATTTTGAAAATGAGATATCACATGCAACATATTATTAAAGTACCGTACAGCAGTGCTGGATGTGGTCGCGATCATGCGACATCTAGCGGCACGACCGAGAAAGACGTGAAAACAGAGATACCGTAAAATAGGGCCTTGAGGGGCAGAGTTTGAAAAATCACAGGATAGAAGTTTGTAACATTTATTACAGAAATCCTGTATAAATGCTTACATTTTGTTCGTAAGATGATACTTCTTGTTGCAACATCTTTTACCTGTGCAATGAAATGTCGCTTTAACATTCATCTTATTAAACGTCTATGTTGTTCACTCTTATGCCAACTAAACGCGACCCTGGTTTGCAGAGACAGCCATGGGGACACAGATCGGTGCGCAGGACCAGAAGCAGTCGGAGTACGTGAAGGCCATTTACGAGTAAGTAATCTTGTGTACTTCAACACCAACACCATCAGGCGGTGCACGTACGGCATGTTCATTATCCAAAGCAAAACGTAAAAAATGGACTGGCAAGAAAATGTTTATTTGCTTATCTCTTCTCCATGATCAATTACGATCACTTGGGGAAGTAAAGCCGGCTGTCCCATGTTAGTAATTTACTTGATTGTAAAAGATCCTCAAGCCTAAATGATGCCTCTGAGCTAAATTCAAATCGCCTGTTTTTCGCACAAGAAATACCTCCTTTCTCTGCTAGTTGATGAAAGGAGCGTAGCGAAATTTGTGTGGTCAGACGGAAGAGCGGGCCTGATGGCCCGAGTCTCGCCACGTAAAATAAGGCATTAATTCAATTCAATTCAATCACTGTCATAATATTGCCTTCTCTTCTCCATGATCAATTACGATCAGTGATAAAATATTGCCTTTCTCTTCTCCACGATCAATTACAATCAGTAGCCAATTTTCTGACGTGAATATTTTGAGTTTACGTCAGTGATTGATTAATAATGGCATAATTGCGCATGGAAAAAACAATGACACATCACCTTCTTTTAAAAACCCACCCATAGTAACTAAACCGCCGAAATTCTCAACCCAGCATGCGCCAATCTTGTTTGAAACTTACGGTTTTATTCCTCTTAGGTTAACATTTTAATGAAAGGTTTTACGAAGTAAAATTTTCAAGTACCCACAATATTTCAAAAATTACAAAATAATTATCTTTATTACATATGTAATACAAATTCGAACTCTGCCGCTCTTGTTTATGCAGCAACTAGCACGAGAGCGTAGGCTTCCGTGGCCGGAGTCAGTCGCTACCTGGCTGTCTGGGAGACGTGTACGCGACACAGGTGCTAACGATTCGGCCGCCATTCTGCGACCTTCTTCAGGGCGAAACTCTCCGAGGAATCATTTCGCCCTGAGAATGGTCGTAGAATGGCGGCGGAAACGTTGAGACCGGTGCCTAGAATGCGGCGTCTCCAGGACAGAGCCGTGGAGCTGCGGCAGACTTGCTGCGTAACTCGTTGCGTCAGAAGCGCTGGCGTGGGGGCTGAGTGCGGGATGGCGCTGTTGCAGGATCAGCGAGCTGACACTGCAGCGCGCCATGCGGCCCTGGCTGCACCCGGACGTCATCTTCTACCGCACGGACCGCGGCCGCCGCTACCGCCGCTGCCTGCAGGTGCTGCACGGCTTCACCACCAAGGTTAGTCGCCTACCACGGCCTGCCTTCATTGATTGAATGATTGATACATTAGTGACGGCGGCGATGGTGTAACGGTCAGTGTAACGGACTGTTATACCCAAGTACGCGGATTTAAACCCGATCGAAGCCCAGTATTTTTAGGGGCGAAAAAATCCTTCGTACGCCTTCCTTCGGAGGGGAAGTAAAGCCGGCTGTCCCATGTTAGTAGATTTACATGCATGTAAAAGATCAAGCCTAAATGACGCCTCTGAGCTAAATTCAAATCGCCTGTTTCGTCGCCCAAGAAATACATCCTTTCTCCGCTAGTTGGTGAATGGACAGTAGCAAAATTTGCGTGGTCAGACGGAAGAGCAGGCATCATGGCGCGAGTCTCGCCACGTAAAATAAAGTAACAACTGCTTAAGTCATTAGTAAGTGTAGTGCATGTTTTTTTATCGCGGGGGACGGTGATCCTCTACCACTGGATGGTGAGATCCTGCGCCGATGGCTAACGGGGCTTTCCCAATCAGGTATCTCCCACCAGCGAGGCATCGATCCAGTCTGTACAAGCTCTAAGCTCCGGACATGTGTGGTAGTGTGAAACATGTAAGTGTAATAATGTGTTAGAAAGGGGTGAAGATATAATAAGGAAGGGGAAGGAAAGATCGCGCGCGATTCGTGGCCCGTTTGTTAGGGTACTGCTCCGGTTATCTCCTGGTGTTTATCGGATGAACCACGGAACGCTAACTACTCATCAGAGCAGTCGGATGCTAGAATTCTCCTCCAGACAGCGACTGAAGCTTTCATTCAGAGCTTCAGTATAATTCGAGCATGTTTTATTGAGTTTTCATTTCGTTAACTGAGGAGTGGAGAAGTGGGGTAATTTGATGCAAGAGGAGAATCCTAATGGCCGATTGTTCTGGTCTGTATTATTTTTTTTTCGATAAACTCGAGACGAATGCTGGAGCACTTTGTTAACAAACGGGCCACGATCCCCGCGAAATTTTTCTTTCCTCCTCATTGTATTCTCCTCCTTTACTACAACACACACTTTACATGCACTCTACTACCACATTTTTTGTGAGGGTGGTCAGGTATTTAGAATTTGTCCCGATGCTCGGGGGGCGGGGGACGGAGACTGTCGGAGATACGTAAGGATGGAAAAAGATTGGAACTGTCAATACTGGGGAATAACATGCACTAATTTTACGGGACTACAATAAAAAATTTAAAACAAGAGAAGAAGAAGAAGAAGAAGAAGAAGAAGAAGAAGAAGAAGAAGAAGTTGTAATAGCGCCTTGAAAATAAAATTCTCAATCACCACTCCCTGACTTCCCAATCCTTCATCTCCCACCTGTCTGGACGAGCTCTAAGCTCCAGCCATGTGTGGTAGTGTGATACATGTAAGTGCAACGTGTGCCGTGGTGTGCGCAGGTGATCCAGGAGCGGCGCGAGGCGCTGCGGGACGCGGGTTCGAACGCCCCCGGCGCAGACGGCGCGGCCGACGACCAGGACGACTTCCTGGGTGAGTTGGCGTCGTCCCTTAGCCCTCATGACACCTCTTGCCCTTGTCACGGCCAATAACATTCCCGTATTTCAAAACAGGCTTTTGAAAATAATAACATTGATAATGCCGGCCCGGATGGCCGAGATTGTTAAGGCAGTAGTGCCGTAGCGATCTCGGTCCGAAGGATTGCTAGTAACGACCTCGGGCATGGTTGTATTTGTGTTCGTCTTTTCACCCTCTATCATCACCATATCATGTCATCTTCACAGATATCATACCGTTAAATGAAACAGTAGTCGCTTATGACCTAGATGGTGATGCGATCTTAAATAACCAAACGTTTAAAAAAACATTGATGTTAATCAGTGACACACTTTGGGGGAGAGCGGGGTAGTGACGGAACATTTTAACAAAATATCGATACCTCGATACATCAATAGAAGTTTTTTTATGTCGATGCAAACATCGACAAAAAATTAAGGTTTAAAACATGGAAGTTATAAATTTGATGAAATATTTCGAAGTAAAATTTCTGGTTATAACGTGATACACGTCAATATTACTTTGAAGTATATTCTGCCTTAAATTTGACTGTCCCCTTCATTTTCTAATCATTGGTTTATGTAGTCTTATCAAGGTTCAAAATGCATTTTAGCGATATTACTACGTAAAACACTTTAAAAAAGTAATAATACTGGATAAAGGCTGAGAATAGGAAATTCGTGTCATCTAGGGATCGACAACAGACAATTGTCAATGGCTGATGATTGTGAGCAATCAACAAAAGAATTAGATACTGAAAATTCTATTTATACCACGAGAAATTGTTTGTGGAAACATCGATGTTCCTGAACAAATATATCGATCAGAAGAAAACATCGATGTTATAAAGCTGAAGTTAAAATACAGACGTTTCTTCTCGAAAATATTGATGTTTCCAAAACATCCAAAAATATAGCTTTTGCTATACTAAAAAAAATAATTCAATATCTCAATTGAACGTAGTAAATATTTGCTATAAGCTTAAATAAAACACATTTTGTATTCCGTGTAATAACAGCTTATTTATCATCGATGATTTTAAAACTGGTTTAGTAATCTCTGTCAATAATGCTCGTGCGGGGGGGGGACAGTTAATTTGACGGCGATTGAGTTTATTAATTTATACCTGATATTTAATTTACAAAACAAAGCCAAAAAGTTATCAAAACAATTAAAAAAGTTTATATTATCTGTTTATATAATAAACAAATAAAATCCTTCAAATATACAACAAAATAATTATAGATATTTTATCTATAATATAAAAATGAATCGCAAAATGTGTTGGTAAGCGCTAATCAACAACGCCTAGCGACCAATTTGGGCAAATTTCTTTTTTAAATGTTCTTTGAAAGTTCAAAGGATGTTTTACGTCGAGAGAAAATAATACAGAATAATTGCCGAAAAACCTAAAACAAGCCTTTTTCTATTCCCATACAAAAACGTTTTCATACTAAAACGTAGAGGTCAATTTGAGCTTGAAATAGGCTGTTGTATAAAGCACTCATTGTTAGTTAGTAGGCACAAAGCATTCATTGTTGTAGGTATTCCTAAAGTCAAAGTGTCAATTTGTAGGGTTGCTTACCTCTCGGTTTTATAGACCGGGAGACTCCGCGTTTTTTAACTCATCTCCGGGTCTCCGTTTTTTGAAAAAATTATCTCCGTTTTTTTTTTTCAATTTCAATACATTTTTAATTTTTTACCAATAAATATATTTTTCACCTTAAAAATTTAAAGCTTTTCTATGTTCATCAGAAATATTGCTCCTTTCCCTCTTCATTAGAAAGAATAAAGAGCAGAACGATGAAAATTGGTCTTGCGATTCTGTGTATCGTCATCCGCTGTCTCTTTCTTTCTTACGGCCATATCAGCAACAGAGACAGCATCTAGCGATTATTGCGAGATTCGCATCGCGCAACAGTTTCAAGAATAATACCGCCCGGGAATGCCTATTCAAGTACTTCATTTTGAACAAGACCGAGATTCGTATTTCGTATCAAAGGCTGAATAATTTTAGATATACAATAACAATTTGGAATCTCTATATATAAAAAGAATCGGCAAAATGTGTTTGTAGCGAAACTCAACAACGCCTGGACCAATTTGGCCAATTCTTTTTTTTTAAATGTTCGTGTAGTTCAAGAATTGTTTGTTACGTCGAGAAAAATTCGAATATGCCGAAAAAGCCCTAAAAACAGCCCTTCTACACAACGTTTCTACTAAAACGTAGAGTCAATTGAGCCTTTATAGCTATTGTATAAACACTTTTGTTTAAACAATGTAGGATGTTCCTAACGTCAGAGTCAATTTTCACTTATTACCATATACAAAGTTCAATTCAATCAAATCTATCAAAACAGTTGTGCGTGTGTGCGTTGGAAACAGAATACCATCGTTGGAAATTTAATGTCGCGGTTCCGAAACTATTATAAATATAGATATGCCTCCTATTAGACGAAGGCAATTAGGGGGGTTAGAAGAACCGAAATGCTACAAACCAAGCTAATTTACCGATAACTAATCATTGCGCACAAAGAACGTGACGACCGAAATGAACATGAAAGAATTCGCGGATATCACCAAACGCGTGAAGCGCGAGCGCTACATTCAACTAATAAGATCGCAAGTTTGAATCGAGCTTGCTTCATTTTACGATGTGTCAATTTGGCTTAACAGTTAACTACCAATGTGTTTAATGGTTCTATGAACGCGGTTGGCTCATATTGTAAGGCCACGGAAATAAAAAAAGGGAACTAATGGATTGTGTTGCGCAAAATGGTAAAGTGAAATTGATACCATTGAAACCACCACCAGAGCCATGTACTATTGGTTTCAGGAATAGGAACAGATTCCATACACTTTTTGCAAATATCCAACAATATAACAGGTTTCAAATGACTTCATTGGGGTCAACAAATGAGTTCGGGAAAATTTTATGCCAACTTCAAGGTATTTATTTATAGCAGTTAATCATCATTATTTATGTTCTGTCACCCCAAGTTAAAATTATGCACTAATCTTCACTTCTAATCATTAAGATCCTAACGATCACTTAGTCAAGAATTTACACGAAGCTTGATTTCAATTGAGGACATGTGCTTGATGATGTTCAAACAACTATTTAATTCAATTAGTCCTCCGCGCCCAATCATCCAATGCATGATGCTTTAACCCAAGAGTTGAATCAGGAAAACTGTATGATCTCACACTTTGAAACAAGTAATTCAAACAAATTCTTCCACTGTTGAATGAACAACAGAAGTATGTATTTGTGACTCTTAGAAAGGAAACAATGTGAAATGGAGGATTTACTTCTTAATGCACCTGGTGGACAGGGAAAACTTTTTGATCATGAATTTTAGCAAACGATTCGCTCACAAAATTGAAATTGCACTTGCACTCGCTCGTCGGGAATCGCAAAGCAACTTGCTGAAGGTGGGTCGAACAGCCCATCAGCATAAAATTGCCATTAATATGCAAGCAATGAACTCCGACCTGAACATTTCGAAGAAACTCTGCATGGCAAAGGTCTTGCACAATTAAATTAATGTTAGGATGAATGCACATAATGGCACATAAAAATCTTTGGAGGCTTTAGACAGAACCTTTAAATATCTACGGAGCAATCATAACCAATTTGGTGGGTGCAATGCGTTTATGCTGGAGATTTTCGGCAAACATTGCCAGTGATTCCACGATCAACACCAGCTGATGAACTCAATGCATGTCTAAAGTCCTCCAATTTGTGAAACATTGTCAGTAATTAATTTTAGCACGAATATGCGTGTCGAGTGAAAAGACCAATCTGGAAGATTTCTCTAAACAACTCATTTGACTATTGTAATGGCAAATTTCCTATAGAACCTGTTGACTGGCTGCTAACTTTCCCTCAAAGAGTTTTTTGGGTTTTTCCAGGCTTTTTAACCTCGATGAAAAGATGAACTTATTCAGAAGGTGTTTCCAGATGTTTCTCAAAATTACAGAAACAGTTTGGTTGAGCTAACGAAGCTATATGCTGCAAAAAACATAGATAAAATGAATTAAATTTAAAATTCAGAACAATTACAGGCGAATCGAGGATATTATAATCTTTGATTTGGCTACTAACCAAGATATGTAGGGACTATCCACCAGAATTTTTAAACTCGCTTGGATTTGCAGGATTTGCCACCTCACAATCTTTCAATTTAAAGGTTGGATAGCGGTAGTTATAATGTTGCGGAAATATAACAACCATGTCTTTGCAACGGCACACTGTTAGCGATAAAAAAATTACTAAAACAACGTGATAGAAAGCAACTACAACTGAAGGAGTGTAAAGGACGACGTTCTCATACCCGCGCATCCCAATGATTCCGGACTGATGTGCCGTTTGACTTTCACGACAATAGTTCCAGTTTAGCTTGCCTTTTGCTATACCATAAACAAGTCCCAGGGGCCAATCATTAGTGTTTTGTATTAATCTGGAAACCCAGTTTCGTCATGTCCAATTGTATGTGCCTGTTCCGTGTTGGGAAAACCATCAGATTTGTTTGTCTATGCGCCAGGGTAATCAAACAAAATCATCGATATCACAAACACTATAATGAAAATTTTTAACTGATCTTTGTAATAATTATGTTCACATGATTAACTATTAGAGCGATTACTACTTTTAAATATGTGTTTATTAATTATATTTCTTATTCACAACGCCCTGGTCACCAGGACGTTGCTGTTCAGGAGAAATTTTTAAAAAAACTAACAATTAGTGTACTATAAATATGAGACTATAAAATATGTGGGGAAAAAATTCACATTACAAATCTTTTTGACAGGACGAAGTCTGTCGGGTCCGCTAGTGATTTTATAAAAATAACACCAACATCAATGCCACATCTCTATCTGACACAGAATTAAAGCATCTCAATTTAATAGAAGAGTCATGGCAAATGTATATTATACATAAAAATTATTTATTTACCACAGAAGAAATTTCACCTACTTTCCGTCCCTATACCCTGCAAAATCATACGTGTAACTTTTTGAATTCAATGTTTTTGAACAGTTCTCGAACATTGCAAAACTAATTACCCGTGTAGCGCAAAACTCGGATTATAAGTCTAAGAGAAATATTATCCTTCCAGGGAAGAAGAAGCGGTTGGCTTTTCTGGACTTGTTGCTGGAAGCTTCTGAGAACGGCACGAAACTGAGCGACCAAGACATCCGTGAGGAAGTCGACACCTTCATGTTCGAGGTAAGTATACTATACCACAAGGAAACCTATAACTAAATGAAACATTTTTTATTTCTAAGTTTTGATGACTTTTATTCTTTCCCACAGGGCCACGACACTACCACCGCAGGTATCTGCTGGTCGCTGCTGCTTTTGGGAGAACACCAGGATGTGCAGGTAAAGAATACAGACCTCTAGAGCAGCGGTCGGTAACCTATCAGATACTTTTAATATAAAATTTAAAATTTCGCGGTTCACCAACATAATTGTTAGGTGTATGCGCAGTGGCAGTAATGGTGTAACGGTTAGCGTATCGGACTGTTATACCCAAGTTCGCGAGTTCAAATGCTATCGAAGGGCAAAAAAATCATTCTCACGTCTTCCTTCGGAAGGGAAGTAAAGCCGGCTGTCCCATGTTAGTAGATTTACTGCATGTAAAAGAGCCTCAAGTCTAAATGAAGCCTCTGAGCTAAATTCAAAAAATCTCCTTTTTCGCCGCCCAAGAAATACCTCTTTTCTCTGTTAGTTGGTGAATGGAGCGTAGCGAAATTTGCGTGGTCAGATGGACGAGGAGGCATCATGGCCTGAGTCTCGCCGCCTAAAACGAGGCATTAATTCCAATAATTTATACAATAGATCTGCTTCAATAACTTGTAAGAAAGTGATAATTTTGATACATGGCTGCATTTAAAATTCTCGCTTTTATTGTGACTCAAACTCATTAGTTGAAGTCGGATTCAATGTGGGAGAGCCCGCCGATCTTCTTCCATGGAGTGAGAGCCAAGGCTTCCGCGGCCGGAGTCAAGTCTAAGGACTAAATGAAGCCTCAAGTCTAAGGACTTACTGATTCCGGCCGCAAAAGCCTACGGTCTCACTAAGGTCCGGCCGGCCAATACGTCGTTAGTCCAAGTAAAGCTATCCGGGCCCAAGTAAGGCTACCCTATAGTCCAAGTAAGGCTATCCGGGAGACGCCGCGTCTAGGGCAGAGGTGCCAACGTGACCTTCATCAGGGTGTCATCATTGCGCAATAACTACGCCCTGATGAAGATCGCAGAATGGCGACCGAAACGTTGGTACCTATGCCCTGTACGCAGCGTCTCCCGGATAGCCTATCTTGGACTATAGGGTAGCCTTACGTGGACCCGGATTGCCTTACTTGGACTAAAGACGTACTTGTCTATCCGGGTCCACGTAAGGCTACCATATACCAAAATGGCGACCTAACGTGGACTATAGGGTAGCCTTACGTGGGCCCGGATAGAATTACTTGAACTAAGGACTTACTTGGCTATCCGGGAGACGCCGCGTCCAGAGCAGAGGTGCCAACGTTTCTGTCGCCATTTTGCGACCTTCATATAATATAATAACTATGCCCTGATGAAGGTCGCAAAATGGCGACCGAAACGTTGGCACCTCTGCCCTGGACGCGGCGTCTCCCGGATAGCTAAGTAAGTCCTTAGTCCAAGTAATTCTATCCGGGCCCACGTAAGGTTATCCTATAGCCCAAGTAAGTCTTTTCATCGAGTCCAAAAGTTCTTTAAAGAGTCGCTTCTTCACGTGTATCCCCCCTGCGCGCAGACCAAGGTGGCGGAGGAGCTGGACGCCATCTTCGACGGGTCGGAGCGGGCCGCGACAATGCGCGACGTGCAGGAGATGAAGTACCTGGAGCGCGTGGTGAAGGAGGCGCTGCGCCTCTACCCGAGCGTGCCGTTCGTGGGGCGCGCGCTGCCCGAGGACGCGCACGTGGCCGGCCACGTGCTGCCGGCCGGCGCAGTCGTCAACCTGCACATCTTCCACGTGCACCGCGACGCGCGCAACTGGCCCGACCCCGAACGCTTCGACCCGGACCGCTTCCTGCCCGAGAACGCCCGCGGGAGGCATCCGTACGCCTACATCCCGTTCAGCGCCGGCCCGCGCAACTGCGTCGGTGAGTCACGCGCGCCAGCCGCGACTGGGCGCAGGTGCGGAGCCAGTCCGCCATTTTGGGGAAGGCCATCATACATTTTCTTAATATAATAATCATATTTGTCATTATATTGCGTATTATTTTTGTAATGTATATAGGATTCTCTACAATATTTTTTAAAACATAATTAAATAATTCCAACATAAGAACCAATTTGGGAGGTTAAAAAACTCTAGATCTTATGGGGGCGTGGTCCCCATTCTCAGGTTGCTCACGCAGGGACGGATCCAGTCCGCCATTTTGGGGAGGGCCATCATACATTTTTTATATAATACTCAAATTTGTCATTATATTGCGTATTTTTGTAGTGTATATATGATACTGTACCATTTTTTAAACAATAATTACATTAATCCAACATAAGAATTTAAATCAATTTGGGAGGTAACAAACAAAAACTCTGGGTCTTATGGGGGGGGGGTCCCGAAGCTCATTTTAAAAAAATAATTAAATAATTCTAACATAAGAATTTAGATCAATTTGGGAGGCAACAAACAAAAACTCTAGGCCTTATGGAGGGCGTGGTCCTCATTCTCAGATGACTCACGTACGGACGAATCCAGTCCGCCATTTTGAGAAGGGCCATCATAAAAAAATCTTTTTATATATTAATCCTATTTGTCATATTGCTTATTATGTATGTAGTGTATACATGATATTGTACAATATTATTTTTTAAATAATTACATAATACAACATAAGAATTTAAATCAATTCGGGTGGTAACAATCGAAAACGTTAGGCCTTAAGGGGAGGGGGTCCTGGCAACCATGCGCTCCGTGGATCCGCCACTGGACTGAGGGCAGCAACTGACGTCACTGCAATACTTGTGTTTCGTCCTAGCATTCGAGTTCCGACATGATAAGGTTTGTGACACTACCTAGACCCAATTCATCCGTTGTCTGGGTGAGAATTCTAGCGCCCGTCTGCTCTGATCGGTATTTTCCATGATTTCTCCGATCAACCTCAGGCAAATGCCAGAACAGTACACTAACAAACGGGCCACGGAACGCGCACGACCTTTCCTTCTTCTTCCTTGTCCTATTCTCACCCTTACTTACTCACGCACTAACATGCACTACACTACCACACATGTCAGGAGATCTGTAGGGAGCTTCGTGTATGTTCCGTCTGCGGCGGTGCCCCGCTGGTGCGAGATACATGGATGGAAAAACTCCCGTTAGCCGACGTGTAGGTCAGCGCCAGTCTAAAACGTTTACCGCTATCTCACTCCATAAAATCAAGCCCTACACTTACGGGAGTAATGACCTTAGGCGTCCATTCACCCTGAAACACTAATCAACCAACCAAAATAACGAGTGGACGGCCGGTGGTGTGCTGCAGGTCAGAAGTTCGCGCTGCTGGAGGAGAAGGCGGTGCTGTCGTCTAATGAATCCTCTTGTAAATGAATGGCTTGGATGTGGATAGATTGTGTGAGCTTGTAATGGTGCTTGTGCTGCAGGGCAGAAGTTCGCGCTGCTGGAGGAGAAGACGGTGCTGTCGGCCTAATGAATACGCTCGTGAAGAAATGGTTTGGAAGTGGATAGCTTATGTGAACTTGCAATTGTGTTTGTGCTGCAGGTCAGAAGTTCGCGCTGCTGGAGGAAAAGACGCTGCTGTCTGCCGTGCTGCGCAAGTTCCACGTGCACACCACCGAGAAGCGCGACGCGCTCACGCTCATGAACGAGCTCATCCTGCGCCCCGAGTCGGGCATCCAGCTGCAGCTCACGCCCAGACACTGACCGCCTCTCCGTCACGTGGGCGTTGCCAACTGCTTTTTTTTAACGATCGTGTGAAAACGAGTGCTACACGCGTGTGAAAACAATCTTTTCTTAAGGCAACTGAAAAAGGGACGTCGCGGTGTAAAAAAAGACACTAGGACATCTCAAAAAGGGGCGTCACGCTGTAAAAAAAGACATTTTCTGCAACTGTATAAAAAGAGGCGGATTCTGTGCATTACTATCCGTACGTGAAGTACGTCGTATTTTAATATCCATTAAAAAGACCCAAAATAGTTGTCATGACAAAAAAAACGTAATTTGTGCGTGGAAATTTAAGGAAGGAAACAGGCGTACTCGTCGGTAAAGCTTCCTCATTTTGGCTCTATACAATATATTACTAACCCTGGAGAAATCTATCACCTTACTCCAGTACAAAATTATAAACTTTTTTCAAAAATATTTTTTACGCAGTTGTAGAAAAAACGTTCACATTTTGTGATCGAAGTGAGTGTTTTTTCATGGCGTCAATTTATTTTTTATCCTAGACCTACGGTCTCGACAAAAAATTTGACATCAACCATGAGAAAAAAACACCCACTTTGCACACTTAATATCAAAACAACTATTTCATACTAAGATGACGAACGAAAACGGTATTAAAATGAAAAAGATGGTGCTTTGTGAAGATTTCCATGAACAAATAATCATAGATGAAACAAGCAATGATTCGCAATAGAACTTTTTTGTCACAATCGTAGAAAAAATGTGCATATTTCATTAATGAAATGTTTGCTCTTTGCACGATCTCCACCTATTGGTCTTGTCAAAAAAACTCAATTTTGGTGGTGCAAGAAACAATCATTTCACGCATTTACTATAAAAATTACTATTTCAATACTGTACCATCACACATTCATCATCAACACCCATGTTCCTGACTATGTTCGAAAACATTCAAATACTAATATCGTTATGTGTATAATGTATATAAAACGCATTTTTTACTGTTTTTAAAAATAAATGTAATTAAAATATATTTGTTCTTTTTTTCATTCCATTCACATTATTTCCAGAAAATCACTCTTGAGAAAAGTTTAAAGTTTCCATGAGACTTCGAGTAATTTGAGAATTAATTAACCAAAAATTGAAGCAATGATAATCTAGTGGTGCTGCAATACATCAGACATCATTTTATGACAAATACATAATATTTCTTATTCTTTTTTTAAATGAACACACCAATTAAGTGGTAATAACAAAAATCCAATTGAAATAAATTGGAATTGAAATAAATCATAGAAGAATCAGTCCACATCTTGACCAACTCATCCCTGAAATATCATGAAACTAGTGATGCTACAACTGGGGTCGGATTAACCTTTGCTGAGAGAACATTGTTAAATCCTGATTTTTGCTTAGCGACGGAAAGTATCTAACTGATTTTATACTCAGAAACTGAGGCCAAACAATAATATGTTAAGAAAAAAGTTTTTCGATTTTTTGAACTAGTACTTAACTGTGTGTGTTGCACATTCGTTCAAATCTCTGAATTTTCGAAAATAGCAAATTTATAAATAATGCGAGGATGTATATGTTGTTGTAGCACTACTAGGTTTTGTTTTGTGGTTTTGCTTCTGGCTTCCTTTGCGTCTTCTGAGGAATTTCCGGGGTCTCCTTTTCTACGGGAGCCCTGACGCGTTCACTCCGTTTGCTCCGTGCTTAAACCGGCCCTCACAACATCACACACATTCTCGCATTATTTGGAACTGAACAGCAATATTATACTAGTACATGAACATGCAAAATTGTTTCCAACCGTCAAAAATGTTTCTCCTCGTCGAGATTCAAATTCAGGATCATCGAGTTAACTCGCCGTGGCTTAACCACTAAGAACACGCAATCAATCAGCCGTCCTTTCACGGTTCGAGGCTTAAATATTTAATTAGTCTCTCATATTATTTCCAATATTTAATTTTCAAAAATTCAGACTTCAATTAAATGAGTCTATTACCTCTGTTTTAAGCCATTCTTTTTTATCAGTGGAAAACTTTCAAAGAAATAATTTGGAGAGGTTTATGAGAAAATGTATTTTTTTGTAAATTGAAACAATTTTAAACACAAATTACGCTAAACTACTATTTTTTTAAAAAAAATGTACATGCAGAAATTATACAGCCAGACAGGGTTGGAGAAGTTTTTAAAAATAAAAATTCTCACAAATATTTTCAATTTTTTTTCTTCAATTATTTTACATGCATATCGCAAGTGAGGCTTAAAATAATGACTCATTTTCGATGAAGCCTCTGATTTTTGCTAATTTCAAAACTTAAAAAGGATGCGAGGCCGGCCTGGTTAGCCGAGGTTGGGCTGAAGACTCGTAGCTGCCTAATACCTGTAGGGTCTCTAATCTCGCCCGGGGGCATGGAATGTCTCTGCGTGTCCTTATATTGTACAATTACCGTTTCTCCTAACGTTAGTTACAGCGGTCGCTGTATGACCTCAGTTGTTGAAAACGACGTTAAAATAATTTTAAAATAAGTTTAAAAAATTAAAAATAATGCGAGTTAGTAGGTTTTGTTGCAGGATCAGTCGTTTAAATATGCGAGGAGCGCGTTGCAAGGTGGCTATGTTTTCATTGGGCAACTAGCAGGTGCCAGAGCTTTAGTAGGCGTCGGCCTGCAAACTGAGGTCTTAAAGGCTGAAGAGCCGTAGATGCCTTGTGTCTGAAGGGTCGTGGGTTCGAGCATCACCTGGGGCATGGATGTCCTTACACCGTTACCGTTTCCCCCAACGTTTCTTATAGTGGTCGCTGTGTGACCTTAGTAGTTGATAAACGACCTTAAATAAGTAAAAGAAATACTCAATAGTTGCTATATGACCTTAGTAGTTTGAAAACGACCTTAAATAAGTGACAAAAATCAAAAATAATGCGAAGCAGTAGGTTCTGTTGCAGGAGCAGTTGTTTAAAAAAGGCGAGTCGCCGGTCGCAACGTGTCTGTATTTTTATTGCGCTAGTAGTAGGTGCCGTAGCCGTAGTACTGGGAAACTGAGGTATCTAAGACTGAAGCACCGAGCTTTCTAGTGACGGAAGGGTCATGGGTTCGAATCTCACCCGGGGGCATGGATATCTTTTTAATGGATAAATAAGTAAAATAAATACACAATAGTTGTTATATGACCTTGGTAGATGAAAAACGACCTTAAATAAATAAATAAAGAACAACGCGAGGCAGAAGGTTCTGTTGAAGAAGCAGTCGTTTGAAAAAAAAGTCGAGTCGCGCGTCGCAACGTGGCTGTATTTTTATGTTTTTATTGCGCTAGTAGTAGGTGTCGTAGCTGTAGTAGTCGTCGGCCTGGTTAACTGAGGTCACTAAGGCTGAATAGACATAGCAATCTAACACCTGAAGGGTCGCGGTTTCGTAGCTCAACCGTGAGCATGGATGTCTGCGTGTGTCCTGAAACCGTTAACTGTTTCTCCCAACATTACATGCAGTGGTCGCTGTATGGCCTTAGTAGTTGAAAACGACCTTAAATAAGTAAAAAATACACAATAGATGCTATATGACCTTAATAGTTGACAAACGACCTTAAATAAGTAAAAGAAATACACAATAGTTGCTATATGACCTTAGTAGATGATCTTAAATGAATATATAAATAACAACGCGAGGCAGAAGGTTCTGCTGAAGAAACAATCGTTTGAAAAAAAGGCAAATCGCGCGTCGCAACGTGGCTGTATTTTTATGTTTTTATTGCGCTAGTAGTAGGTGTCGTAGCTGTAGTAGTCGTCGGCCTGGTTAACTGAGGTCGCTAAGGCTGAATAGACATAGCTATCTAACACCTGAAGGGTCGCGGAGACGAATCTCACCAGGAGGCATGGATATCTGTATAATGGATAAATAAGTAAAAGAAATACACAATAGTTGCTGTATGACCTTAGTAGATGAAAATCGACCTTTAAATAAATAAATAAATAAATAAATAAATAAATAAATAAATAAATAAATAAATAAATAAATAAATAAATAAATAAACAACGCGAGGCAGACGGTTCTGTTGAAGAAGCAGTCGTTTGAACAAAAGGCGCATCGCGCGTCGCAACGTGGCTGTATTTTTATATTTCTTTATCGCGCTAGTAGTAGGTGTCGTAGGCGTCCTCGGGGCGGTCGAGCACGTCCTGCGGGAAGAAGACCTCCTCCTCGCGCGGGGAGAGCTGCGCCAGCCGAAACAGCGGCTCGCGGCACTTGCGCAGGTCCTGGAAGAAGCGCCGCGACGCAGCCGAGTGCTCGGGCTCGCCCAGCAGCCCCTCCGGGTTGCACCGGAAGAGGAACTCCGCGAGGAAGTCGAGCGGGTCCAACGGCCGCACGCGCTCCGCCTCCAGCAGCCCGCGCGCCAGCGTCGGCAGCACGAACCTGTCGGCGCCGGTCACGGGTTCTGACTAGAGTGCGGATTTCCAACTTTTTTTTTTTTTTTCGTCGACCCCATCGACCCGACCATCAACGTAAGAGAGATTGCACTAGGGAACGCGATTTTTTTTTTTTTGCCTTCTGTATTCGAAGATTGTCGTGGACTAGAGCGCGGATTTCAAACCTTTTTTCTTTTCTTTCATCGACCCCTTTTTAAAATAATTGTATGCTTCAACGACCCTTATTTATAGAGAGATTACACTAGGGAACACAATTTGTGTGTGATGGTACACTGCACTCAATGGCATGGCACAACGCACTCAATTTTATACGTTAATTACGAATATCGCAATAAAAACATATCACGTCACAGTTTTTAAATTGCTTCAGTAGTTGACAGATGCTTCTGAATTCGAAGATTGCCGATGACTAGAGCGCGGATTCCTAACCTTTTTCTTTTATTCACCAATTTTAAAAGAATTGTTTGTTGCCTCAACGACCCTTACTTATAGAGATATTACACTAGGAAACACGATTTTTTTTTGTCTTCTGTATTCGAAGATTGTCGTGCACTAGAGCGCGGATTTCAAACCTTTTTTCTTCTCTTTGATCAACCCCTTTTTAAAAGAATTCTTTGCTTCAACAGCCCTTAACATTATAGAAAGTTTACACTAGGAAACATGATTTGTGTGTACGCAACGTACCCAAATTTATACGTACTAGATTACGAATATCTCAAGAAAACCATATCACGTTTTTAAATTGCTTCAGTAGTTCACAGATGTTTCTGTTTTCGAAGATTGCCGTTGACTAGAGCGCGGATTTCCAATCCTTTTCTTTTATCTACACATTTTAAAAGAATAATATGCTTCAACATAAGAGAGATTGCACCTATGCCACTTTCCTGAGATATCAACAACTAGGCTTTCGTTTTTTAAGGAAATTTTTAATGAATTTATAAGGCACCTGCACCGAAGGAAGATTATTGCCGGTTTCTTGTCAGAGAGAGTAAACGGGAATAAAGAAAAAATCACACGGTCCAAAGCATTTTTAAGCAAAGCTATAGGAATTTCTGCTTCCAAGATGTTTCAATATTATTGCACGAATATGCGAAATCCATTTTTACCATATTCTTAACTCAGATGAATCATGCTCTTACATTTTTGTAGTAATATAACCAGAGTGACAATGCAGAAATTTATGTAGAATTTGATTTATTTAAATTAATAAATATGTCCATATCATTTGAACCCTGAGTAACAGAAACTTTTTTATAATGATTTTCGGAATCACATGATTGTTTCCTTTGGAATCACCTACTTTCATCCTGAAGGTATGAAAAACATTTTTTGTTCCCTAGTGTTACAATAAGAACGGACCGTTTTGACAGCAACTGCTGGCAACATGATAACACGTTATATCTATGCACTTATTTTGTCAGTGTGTTCGTTTAGAGTTCGTTCATTTGTTAATCGCTGTCTGTTGCTACGTCGTCGCCCTAAGAGACGTTCATTTGTTTCCCGGCCTTTTAAAGTGATACCGTTTTAGACTAATTCCGCTGTATTCTCTGTATTATACAACATGCATAATCGTTCTATTTTGTACTTGTCACCATTCCTGTCATCTTGTT